GAATGGCATAGAAGAATTGACTAATCATAGCACAGATGCCCAGGTTCAAGGAAAGGCGAACATGGAAATGAGCAAAGCCTTATGCGTGCTGGGCATTCCTAAGTATAGCAGAGCCCAGCCCACGAGGGGCGGAGCGAGGTAAAGGTTACTTCTCAAAAATGAGTGCAACTTTGTTCGGAAACGTTATAGAATGCCGGAAAAAAGTGGTTGAAGGTAATGGAACAAATGTGGTCAAACCCGAAAGTGGGCGGGCTTAGATCAAAATTTATAACTCTATTCAGAAACGTTCTAGGATGCGGCAAAAAGGTGTCAAGGTGTAGAAAAACAAATGTGCTCAAATCTCGAAAGTGGGCGGGGTTGGCACCAAAGTGGGCGGGGCTTAGATCGAAATTTTATAACTCTATTCAGAAACGTTCTAGGATGAGGCAAAAAGGTGTCAAGGTGTAGAAGAACAAATGTGCTCAAGCCTCGAAAGTGGGCGGGGTTGGCACCAAAGTGGGCGGGGCTTAGATCAAAACTTCATAACTCTGTTCAGAAACGTTCTATAACGCGAGATAAAGTGGCAAGAGGAATTAGAACAAATGGAGTTAAGTCCTCGAAGGGGGCGGAGCTGGCTTATGAAAGCGGAGCTAGGACCAAGAGTTCATCTCTTCAAAAACTTTCTGGAATGCGGAAAAAATGGTGTGGAGCGGTCGAAAGAAGGGTGGTCAAGTTTGTTGTGGGAAGGGTTTTCGCTTAGGTGGACGGAGCTATGATCAACCACCAATACTCTGCTCAAATATATCGAGCGTGATGCTCTCAGCAGCTCAGCGTTTCACTCTAGAGAAAACTATCTTANTCTGATTATACAACATTCCGCTGAATGACTCCATCGTGGATAAGTGGCCGTCGACATATACTGCACGCGTTAGCGTGCATAGCCAAACTGGTACATATATGGAAGGCTAAATTTTTGTGTTTTTTCTAAATGTTTTGTATGTCAGTCAGCAAAAGGTCACGTACAGTACTCGCCACAAAAACTCGAAAACTCACGCATACACCGTGAATTGGAGTCTTTTTCGAATTAGGGTTTTCTGCATAAGTCGGTTCAGAGTGAAGTATTCTGGGAGCTGAGGTTACCGTTGACTCATCGCTAAACGAGCTCACAAGATCTCAAGGTCTTTTACCTCTTGCCGTTTCGAGTGCAGTGAGAGCTTTCCTTAGACTGGCTTTGCATGCGCTGTTAGTCGACATGATTGAGTGAACGCTGAAGGCAGGAGGTGGTTACTGCCTAACCCAAATCTAAGATGGGGAAGGTAGGTGCGCTTATTGCCGTGAAAGGGCTCCGGTCATGAGCCTCTCCCGGCATGGTTACATGGAACTGCGAGGACAGTTTTAATCGAGGGCCCTCAGACGCCGACGGACCGAAAATGCGGCCTGAAGATGTGAAAATGCGAAACGGTTTCACCGGACAGCTTTGCTGCGACGGACCCCACTATCCAGAATACATGAGGGAGGCTTGTCCCGACCTCTGGGTCTCCCACCATGGTATTTTGCCTGGTAGCTTCCCCGGTGACCGTACGGTGAGCTTCCGTCATCCTTCTAGAAGGATAACCCCTATCGCTCCCTATCCCGGGTTGGGCAGCGTGCGTCGTATGGCTGCTGGTGCCAGTCCAAGGCCATAACACCCGCACGGGTCCTAGGGGTGATAAAGGTACGTCCTAATCGATTTTTCCTGCGTGGTCAATCTGTGGGCTGCTCGGATCTACCCAAACAGTTCCATACGCTTCTGGCTGACACTCCTTTTCTTGCTCCTAGCGCAGGAAAGGTTCGATCTCAAAGGCCGGGCATGTGTTACCACATGACCAACCTCAGTCCGATGCACCATATTGTCGCGATTGATGCTCAAATCGTGGGGCAATCCAAGCTGACGACTAGAAGGTGCGGGGTGTGCGGCGTCGCGACTTCCGACAAAAGCACAAGGGATCTGCGCTTGATAACTTCCCCTCGACCCTGCACTCGAATATGTTCCTGCGCTCTCCTCGATATACTGCGCTCAGAGATTAGGACAAAAGAATACCAATGTTAGCGATCACGTTAGCGTCAAAGGTAAACCTCTTAGATATATTGTGCGCGTAAAAGAGTAAAGAAACCGAGAAAAGATGTTGTCCATCATGATCGAAATAAGTATGTAAGAGATGGACCTCTTGCTACATAACAAAACATAAAATGAATAAGTGACCAAGTAAAAGGTGAGTTCAACTAAAATTCTTACATTATGGTACCTCACCTCACTGGGGGTCGACAATGCGCATTATCCCTCCTGCTCTTGCGCAGTGGCGTTGGCCGGGGGGAGTTCGGCACGTCCGGTCGCCACACGCAGCGAAGCAGCAGATCCCGCTCCACTGATCCATACGACGACTGGGATTCCATCTTCCACGGGATGCGCACCAGGGGCTGTCAGAGGATTGGATAGCTGCGCGGAGGGATAATTGGGATATCGTCACCATCAAAATTATAAACCTCACCCGTGGTCGTGTGGAATAATCCTCCCCAGCTTGCCGGTCCTTGATAGAAACTGCGCATATCAGGTACGTCCAGTCGCCACTCGCAGCGGAGCAGGAGTTCCCGCTCCACTCATCTATACGACGACCGGGATTCCATCTTCTAAAATGGAACTCGGTTGCCACGCGGAGAAAGAAACGAGTGCCACCAGTCGCAGAAATTTATTTCACCTCAAACTTAGGTAATTAAACATAGTGACATATACCTGACCTGAAAAAGCGTCTCGCAGGCAGGGTGCTGAGGGATTATGGTGTAAGACATCTGAGGCGCAATTGAGGGTTAGTCATTTTATATCGTTTATGAGTTTTTTAGATCCTGCTGGAGATAAGCTCAATTCCCACCACCAAGAAGCAACAGGAGCTTACTGTAGATCTGAGGATAAGCTCAGCTTTCTCACTGCCATCATGTGAACCGAATTCTAAAGTTCCGATCGCATCGGAGCTGCGATACTCCCGGCCTCGGAATGACTTTGCTAACGAAAAAAGGGAAGGCGCAGGCTGTTATTGGCGTAGGAAAGAGCCCTCGCGATGTAGGTGTGTTTCCAACAACTAGGTGAAGGCGCATGACTTTTAAGGATGAGATATTTTAGGGTGGTTCTCAAGAAAGGCCAATTCTTCTCGTAAGCGTAACAGTTTTGCAAAGCTTTCCCACCCTCCTTCGTGTGCATTCGCTTTCCGTGAACGGATGGTGTCAAAGAAGTCCGGGAATTCGCAGAGTGCGCTATGGTGGCCTCGACTAGACGGCAGTAGAAGAAAGTAGTAAGGTTTTTCTTACACGCGAGTCCTCGGACGCAAATCACTTCAAGACATTGCTTGAATCTTCTGTTGCTTTCAACAAGCTGGTTTCTACTCGCTACACCGCGGACCACCGTGCAGGAGTCGGAGTAATGATGTCCGAATGCCTTGCTGAAAGCACATCTCATAAAGCGTTAATGAGCTTTGTCAATGTGTCCCTGATCGTACCGTCGAGGGCGGGGGGGGGGGGGGGCGCACAGGCGCTCTCTTTCTAGATGACGCAACAACCCGTCGAAATCGAGAATAGCTTGCTCCGTGTTCCTGAGTTCTAGTTGAATTCGAGACACTGCTCCATCGTCCTCTTCCATCAGATCATTGAGAAAATCGTCCACTGAGTCTTCTTCCGCACCGACGGATTTTCCATCTCCTCTCTCCGCCTCCTCTTCAGGTTCCTCTATACCTTCCATAAAACTTGTGTTTCTTTCAATGATGTCATATTCTTCTTGAATCATCTGGATTCCCTCGCGCTCGCCGACGTTGTCATGTTCTAGGTCTGGCTTACGTTCCCTGCTATGGGCTGAGTCGACCACGTTGGTTTTCTCATCCATTGTAAGCTGTTCCAGCTTACTAAGGGTGGAACGAACGTAGTTCTCGAACGCTAGGGTTTCCTGGTCCTTCGTGTTTTGCACGTTTAGGCGCAAATTAGCAAGGGTGTCGTGCAGTGACGTGAGAGTTTGCAAATGATCTGAAATGACTATCTCGATGGTTTCCATGTCCATCAATAGGGGTTCGGTTCACGTTGACGCACTTCTTGGGGCTGGCGCATGAGGGTCCCCCAGAAATTATCTCAAAGAAACAAGCAATGGAGGGAGTGCAAACAAGGTTCGCAATTGAGACCTACAACACATAACTTGCAAACGACACTGCTCAATACGTGATTCCACTAAATCTATCTGAAGAAGACGTTCCTGAAACGGTTTAGAAGAAATGTACAATGCGCGAATTTTTCGTTCAAAAGAAGTTACAGCTTCGTACAAGCATAAATATCGAAACACTGAGACACAATTTTTTTTATGCAGGAGATGAGGTTCAGGGAGCTTTCTGCAACTCTCGCAGCCTACGCTTAGTGTACCGAAGTTCTTCGCTAAGGTCCTTGATGTATACCGTGTTCTGAAAAAAAAAGTATTAAGACTGTCTACGAAACAGTGTTGGTGGAAAAAGATGCACCTATGAGATACCTCTTTAGGCATGATTACTTACTGAAACTCCTTAAGGCGCAATTGCGGGATAGGTGGTGTCCGTGGCACGGAATCTGGAGCATTTCAGTTAATTGGGTTGTGGCGCAATGGGTAACACTACGTATACTTTTTGACTGGCGCATTTTTAGTTTCATGCTTTATTATAAGAATTCATGATATAGTAGGAAATACTAAGCGGAAAGGTAAGCAGCATGAAATACGAAAGAAAGAAATATGCGCAGTACTAGTTTTAAAATTTGTATTCCAATAGTACTCAAGCATATATACACGAGAATGGCTGATACGCAACTATGAGAGGTACCTTAATTAGGGTTTTGTATCAAAGCATTATGACGTCAAAATGTGCGTTATATCAGGCCAAACAAACTCATGGTGAGTATTGCTGTTTCCTTGGAGTTTTGACAATAAGTGATAATGTAGAGTGTTAACATGTTTCAACAAGCCCCCTATTTTGAAGGTGTATTCCCAGAAATAGTCCCGCAGAAAATAGTGCAGTTCAAGAGTTGGCGTGCAGAACCTAGATGAAATCGCAGGCTTGACTGTGGCCCAGTCGATGCACAGGGAANACAGGGAACAACAAAGGAGTGTGAGGCGCATACGATCTCTCCATTAGTTTCCTCTGGCGAATTACATTTTATGTCTGCTACGGCACCTTTTGCGCAATTATGACAGCCTCTTAATGTTGTGTTCTCGATGGCGCAAGTGAGGTTCCGTACTTCCACGAAAGTTGTGTCAAAGGCCCTATGAAAGGTGAGAAGAAATTTGGATTAGACTAAATTTCGCCACCAGGGAGATTTGTGCCTTTTTCTCAGTTCCCAAGATGGTGTTCTGAATGGTAGTTTTAGCGGAATGTGATTAAATTCCTTAGCCACATCAGACGAAAGGCATTCACATCGCACCTTTGACTCAGCCGCTGCGCACTTACAGTTTTCTGAAAACGTGCAGTTTAGTGTCTTGGCTGCTCTTTGACTTTCGCAAAGTAGATAATCACCGTGTCGTATCTGTCTGTGATGAAGGCGCTGTTCAGCTGCGGATTAGGAGGAATTGTATGGGAAGTCATGGTGATCTGTAAGGTTTCGAAGTTCACTGGAACATTTGGGACGAGCTGGGCGACATACCAGTACCGTCCTTCATTTGAATAGAGGTCCTCAACTATGATCTCTACTTTGACCTCTTCCGTCCAGCGCAGACAACGAAATATTCTGTAGATGGTCGGGTTATTACGCTTGACAAAAAGGCGGAAGTGGAGGCAGTCGGAACTAAAGGAGGCGCAATCGCAGCCCCATCCTCCACAGGACTCGAAACTGTCAGTACTTCCTGGATAAGGCTCTGGAATCATACTAGTGCTGTTGATACTGGCGCATTTTTCACCTGAACATGACCTCATATACGGACAACGTTTACTGTCAACAACGTACACAGTCGTAAAACGTGCAAAGTATTCCGTTTCTTCCTCACAACGTAGGTATAAGCCTTGTCATGACTCTTCGCCATGATTACGAGAAACACATGAACACCTTCATCAATCAATCAATACTTCCAGCGAGACTCAAAAAATGCGGAAGCTTCGCTTGTACCCACACCAAAGTACAAAATTGCTGGAATTTCATAGGTTCCCATACTAAACACCAAATGCACCACCCACCGGGGTCGGTATATAAGCCGCCCATTTTTTGGGTCTAAAAGGCCTAGTTTGTGTCAGTCCACCAGTTCCAGTTCTCTCGAGTTCTCAACAGCTCTCGGCGAGCTCGACAGCTCAAGCACTTCCTGACAGTTCGGCGACTCCACAACTCGGCGATTCCAAAATCGAGCAGTGCCGTCAAGGCACTGCTCCCAGCTCCAAATTCCTCGCCCTCCGCTCTCCAACGACCCCCTTACAAGTTAGACAGAAAATCGTTTCCAATACAAGGAACGAGAGCGGTGCGGTGCAACAATTGAAAGGAGATACGCTGGGCGCTCCAACCTGTCGCCTGTCGGACCCACCACCAGCAATTCCAAAACAAGACGAACAAGGTTGCACAATCCTCAGACTGTTTGACTTTGTAATGGTACGAATTGTATTTACCACTTGTTGACCCGATGAATATTGAAATAAATATCCTATCGAGCATTCTATCACCGAGCCGTCGAAACACGCTGCATCGGCCCAATTCAGTCCCCAACATGGTGCATCGAAAAATCCAAAAATAACTCGAGCCTAGAATATTCACAATGCAATTCTGAAAAAAATTCAAAAGTCAAAAAAAAAGACAAAAGTAAAAACAACATTAAAATGGAAAAAAGGGTAAAAATAAAAACGAAAAACAGAAAACAGGCAGCAGAGAGAGTAAAAAACTGGAAAGAACAACGTCAAAAATGAAAATAGTCATAGAATTATATGCTCGTGCTTTATGACATGATCTCCCACGTGAGACGTCACGTGGACCATTTTTGATAAGCACGATCACTGATCTCAATATAGAAAAAAATAACAATGTAAAGAAAAGAAAAGATGCGAAATTTTGCACACACACATTTGTAAAAAAACCCTATTTGCACTTTTCACATTCATTAGCCGAGTTAGGGGCAATCTGTTTCAACGCCATTGGCGCTCCATCAGATTGTTCGATTCATCGAGGCTCCGTAAAAAGGAGATCGTTCCTTAGCATCAATATTACCTGTTGTTGCCGGCCTATGTCAATGTCTGAGAAGTCAGTGCACCTACTGTTGCCGGCCTCTGTCAATGCCTGAGAAGTCAGGACTCCTGTTGTTGCCGGCCTACGCCAATGCCCGAGAGGTACGGGTTCCCTTTTATAGCCGGCCCATATCAGATAACTTCTCCTTTGAGCGAGGAGTGGAACAATCACTCATTTGGTAACCCAAGTGATCAAAGCTTTATCACACCAATCGATTGGATGCAACCACAACAGACCCAAATAGACCCGATCACAAAAAAGAACCAAAAAAAAGGAAAAAGTACAAAATGCAAAAAAAAAATTTCAGATATTTCAGGTTGATAAGAGCTATACAACTCGTTTTTCAGAGCTGCTCATTTTCTACAACATTAAAACACAATAAAACCATTGTTATGATAACCAGAATGAGAACAACAAATTAACATTGAATACCTGGAGACCCTAAGAAATTCCACTCCACGATATTACAGCAAAATCAACCTTTTAAAAGCGTCCCAATCCTGCTACCGAACAGTACTACTGGTATTCAACTGCAATGTCATCCAACGACTGAACGTCTTCGCCCTTCCCCAACATTGACGCACCCACAACATATGTGGATAGGGCATATTTGCAGAAGATTATATGAGGAAACTTCTAGAGTATGAAGAATGCCTATCCAACGCATTCGCCACGATCCACACCCTAGAAGGCCGACTTGCTGAATGCATGCGGGCGGCGTGGAGGCCGAAGGCTTTTGAAGAGAATAAACCAAGAACAATGAAACATCGAGATAACATTCATTGCTTATAAAACGTTTCAATAAAGTCCTTTTTTTCTTAAACTGTTTGCTCAGAGAAGGGTATTAACCTTCATTATCTTAAAAAAAATTTTCTCAACTTTAAAACTTAATTTTTACATTTAATAATACATTGTTTAGCATGGAGAGAGTGGCTCAAGAACCGCGTCGACAACAAACAATATTTGAGCGAATCGAAGAGCACGACGGAATTGTACGACGACAACTACTTTTCCTTACAACGAGCCTGCTCTCCTTGGAAGAAAAATAAATAATAAATAGAACACAAGAGGTTTACAACTTACCTTTACAAACGAAATCATAATAAACGTAAACAAGAAAGAAAGAAAGAAAGAAAGCGGACATAATCGTTAAGAAGA